CGGAAGGGGTTCGGTGCCGACAGCGTTAATAGTAGGAGCCTCGGCCTGCTGGGTGCACCTTTGAAGCGATGGCCTGTCCCTCTGCGGTCTTCTGCCGGAAGGTCTTGAAGAGCTTCGGCACGGCAAACGAAGCCATACAGCAGTGGAAGGCGAGAAACCATTTTAGCGGTGGAGAAACCTTTGGCCCAGGTCTGTCCGAAAGGTTCACTGCGGTGTTAAGGGAGTAGTCCCTAACAAGCCATTTCGGTCAGCTGGCACCTGGCCCCGTGTCTTAGGCTGTTGCACAAGCAAACGCGTTGTGTGATACTTGAATTATATTCATGACATGAAAGGCCCTCGTTAAGCCAAAGAATTACTAAGAGGAAGACTGAAATAAAGCATTTACTTCTGTGCAGTGAGTGCAGTAAGCAAACGTTCTCTGCAATGAATGTTATCATTCATTGAATGATAACAATGAATAACAAGTGACTTCTTGAAAGGTGTTTGGTCTGCTCAGTTTGTGGCTACGTGGTCTTACTTCAGACATCTTAACATTTTGAGAATTTATTTTGAACAACTCCCCCCATCACCCATATAAATATCAAGTTTCTCTTTGCATACTTTGGAGACAGCTTAAAAAAGACTCATGTTTGCTTTAAGGCTTAAAAAAAATCTTAAGGGGCTTTTCCAGGTAGTGACATAGAAAGGTGCCTTTAGCTGTTTTATCAGTGCTTTTGCTACACACGTTATCGTGGTTTGGTTTTTTCACACTATTGTTACAAAAGACCATTGTTGTCTTTTTTGTTTCTAAGCAAGGAAAAGGTAATGGTTTACCATATATTCTTGGAACATGCTCTGTGTTTGTAGTTGTGGTAACATAATAGCAGTGCCGGAGAGGATGAAGACCAAGCAGTGTGCCTGAGCAGTCACAACACGGAAGTGGTATGTTTTGTCTTACAAGCTAAACTGAAAGAGATGACTAAAACAAAACACAAGATGAGCATTCTAGAAGAGGCTTATCTGGTGCTATTGCTGTTGTGTCAATATCCCTTTAACTGAACCTGACTGAGTTGTCGAAAAGAACTGAGAGGAGGGGAAGGAAGTAGTAAGTTAAAGCAATGGCACCAAAGAGGGAGGTTTGTTTTTTTTGTGGGTTTGGGGTTTGTTTTTTTCCCCCAGTTGTTGTAGGACTGGTTCTGCAAGTTGAACAGGCTGCTTTCCTGGGGCTCTAAGCAGCGCCAGTGTTATTTATTGTGTGAGTCACTGCATGATCCCTGATAGAAGAGTCATTTTCCTGTCTGTCCTCTACACACATACACAAAAATATCCTAGAGAGCTGGTCTATCAAAAAAGTCTTCAAAAGGAAACTGAGTTCTGACATCGGTTTTGTAACTGAAGTAATCACTTTAATACCCACATGGCTGTTTTTCTTCCCTTTTTTAATATTTTATATCATATAGAACTGGCTACACAGTACCATGCACTCAAATAAATAATTTTTTTTTAAAAGCTTTTGAATGTAGCCAAGATTTACTGTGGGCATTAACTGTGATATGGAACTGTGTCTTTTTCCTTTCTGTTTCAAGTGAATGATTTCTTTTCTCTCCATGCCTGCCAGTTCATGGAGATGGCTGAACACAGGGAAGAAGCTTCTTGAAGAAGGTTCTTCCTATTATGGGGTTGGATAATGTGTGGTAAAGGCAAAGGATGCATTTTTCTTTTGGCATACCGTCATGTACAAATTCTAGTGCTAAGGGGTATACAGGGGTCTTTATAATGATGACTAGGCCTGATTCTACTATTTGAGAAATGTGAAAAGAAGTTTAGAATAACAAAGATTAAGTGATTATTAATGTCATAGTTTAGATACAGACTATGCTGAATGATGACAGTTTTGCATCTCTGTCTTGTATAGCCCTGAATGATCAGATGCGCCACAGATGGTGTGATGAGGGAAAGGAAGAAATAGTAGCAATTTGATCACAGGGACTGATACAGGACTGGGGCATTCTTCCTTTCCACCTCTCACTAGCTCGGTAGATCAGAAGAATGCTCAGAGCTGCTGAAAGAGGGTGGATCTTCTGTAAATCACTGCTAATTTTTTTTTTTTTTTTAGATATTTGGCCTATCTTTGACTACTGTTATACACTGTCCAATGCAATACTATCTTGAAAGGCTGCAGAATGCTTTTTAGCTTAAAATTTTGTTCCTGCTGCATTTGTGCATTGCATTAGCAATGTTGAATATTAACTACAGTAGCTTCAGGTTGTACTGTGGGTGGAGTTGAGGTAGTTATTTGCAGTGTTATTGCTGCTTCTCAGTGAAGCAGTATCTGCAGAGAAAATCGATCTAATAGTCTTTTGACTTTTCCCTGCTGGCAGTCATTATCCAGTTGTTTTGTGGTTTTTTGAAATGTTTTGTGCTCTCTGTCTGACACTGACCTTGGCATCCATTTTTTAAAGACCATCGATCTGATTACTTGCAGAACATGCTGAAAGATCCATCTGTCTTTCTCTAATGATCAGTCTTTACTACAGCATTACTCTGGGATAAGCTAGTTGAGGTGAAACGCCCTTGCAGCAAAGTACACTGCCTCTCTACTGTATTTGGGTAACTGCCTACAACAGTGCTGGGAAAGCTTGCATCCTAGGATGAACTGAAGAAGGAGGAGCCAGGACAGGGTAAGACACACTGTGTTGTTAGTCACTGAATCTTGGAATTTGTTTATGGGTGCTTGGTTTACATGGTATATTCCAGAACAGCTGTTTGTGGCACTGAGCTGAGGAATATACATTATGTTATATGAATAATACATTTTATGTAAAGTATATTACATAAGTCAACATGGAAGCTGGAGTAGCTCTAGAGATGAAAGCAAATAGCATTCAATGAGAACATTTAGAACTCCATTGTAATAAGATGGTAAACCACAAAGTGATTGACATTTACACCCAAATGACTGATCTGTTTCTCCATTTCTTTCCTCTCAATAAGTATGCCCCGAATGATAATCCTCATTTCCCTAAATTTCAGAGGTTATTAACTCTGGACCTCAGCTTTACCATAGTGTTGATGTCAGCTACTTCTTCAGCTGGCTGTATGGATAAATAACTTGTTTCGGTGGAGACTGTGGGAAGGCAGTAGGAACAGAACAGGTGAATACAGAACTTAAATGCTGAGTCAGTGATTGTGACCTGGAGCTCAGAGGGAGATATAAATAAACCAGTAGCCAATTGGGATTCTCTAATAACAGTATTGGAGTTTCTGTTCTTGCTGCAACATAGAGTACCTTGGTAGGCTAAAGTCTACTTTCCAGCCACTCCTCCTCTTCTGGGTTCAGAAGTGCATTCAGGCCTGGGTTATAGCCTTTCATGTAGGGAGAAGAGGAGCAAGCATAACATCTCTTCTGGACTCTAACTGAACTCGGGGGGCAGGGGGAGAGGAGGCGGGGGAGGGAGAGCGCGTGAGTGTGTTTTCAGTTCTTTGTGGGGAAGAGGATGGGAGTTGACTGTTGGTCCTTCCAAGTGTGTACATTCTCTCGCCGGTTACTTGCATGTTTTCAGATCCATGGTCACTGATCTGAAAAAAGCTAAACATCTTGATCTCCAAGATGGCCATTTGGAATTTGGCTTAGAGAAAGCTTTTGATTTCATGTGTTTTAAAGTCCATAGCAATAAATCACAGAAGGGCCTTAAATGCTAGCTATATAGCCATCCATACGTAACCAGTATGGATTTAAGGAAGACTTTAAGGCTTCGGTTAAAATGTTAAATACACTTTTCTTTAGAAAGAGATGAGAAAATATCTTTGTAGAAAATGGAATTTAAAGTAATACTGATACAATATGTGAGCAAGTGAAGCTCTTTCAGGAACTTGATTTCAGCCTGTGAAATGTATATTAGAACTCTGAAAAGCTGGTGTCTCGTATCACAGTTTCACATTTGTCAGTCTGCACTGATCTGCTCTTAACTGCTTTGTAGTCATGCGCTGGAGATCCTGTGGAGTTTTGTTTTTCTGAGAAGTGTAGTCATTCAGAAATGCTGCATTCAGCCTTGTTGATTGAAGCAGTATCACTTGTGCTTCTGACAAGGAAGTTTATGGATGACATTGACATTGCATTCATTTACAGCAGAATAGACCACTGATGTGTGCTCAGTAGTAGGAGTCTGCTTTCAATAGAGTAAATCAAAATACCCATAGGTTCACACATAATTAGAAACTTCCAAACAGACAGTGAGGCTTCTTTGAAACCCCATCATTACATCTTGCTTTTGAGTGCTTTAATGCTAGCTTAAGCTGGGGATTATTTTGTGTGCCAAGTTAGTAGGTGTAGGTGCATGTGTTTACTTTAATACATTCTGAATTGCTTTTGGCGGGTTGTTAAATGATTTAACATTGGGTTACGTGAGCATACAGAGGATGCTGTTTCATTAATGTAGTTGACCTGACAGTGTGTATATAATATGCACATGGAATATTTTGTGACTGTATACTTTAAGACTGTTCATGTATGTCTGTACTGCATAACTGTAGTTTCTTTGGAGAATATGCAGACATACTGTAAGCACTGGATGAGTTGCACTTGTCCTTGGAGGGAAGTATGGCAAAAGAAAAGAGGAAGGAGGTATTGACTAAAACAGGGAAATGGGCGTAAAAAAAAAATAGAAAAACTGCTGTAACAGAAACAGAATCTAACCTGTCAGAGTAGTTCTCACACCAAGAAATCCATTTCAGACCATAAGCACTACCACCTCTTTGTGTATGAGAGCTAACTACCTGTATAAAAGCTGGGTAGAAAAGTTGGAAGGGAATAATGAAGTTGACAAACTTTGTTCAGGTCTTTGTGTGGGTGGTTGTTTTTTTGTACCCTTAAAGGAAAGCAAGCTATTAAATGGGCAAAAGGAAGAAAATAAGAATATATGAACGTTTCAACAATGTACAAAATATATTAAAAAGTTAATAGGAAAAGTAAGCAGCAGAGGGATTTCTTTAACTAATAACTTCCCCATTCTGACTGGGAACTGAGATACCAGGAAAGTTTCTCTTCTAGTTTGTTAGGAGAACTTACTCTCACATGTTCTTTGGTGATTTAAAAAATCTGAAGCTTATCCAAATCTTTAATTAGGGACAGCTAACTTTGCTTCTTCAAGTCTGTGCTGCTTTTGAAAGTGATACGATACTTTTTTTCCTTTTCAAAGGAAATGTTGAATTGAGTGTAGAAAACCACAGTAAATTATCAACTTGTTTTAGTAATAGTAACATTTAAATATCAGGCATTTTTTTCCGAGCAAAATAAACTTAGAAGGCAAACACAAGTCAAGGTTAAACTCTGTAGATCTCCCTGCTTGCTTGCTTTACATCAATCCATCATTCTCTGTTGACTTTCTAAATCAACAGCCTGGTAGAAGGATTGTAGAGTCATAGTCTCTCTCATATTCAGATGTTCTGAGCCAATGATTAACTACACCACCGCATACTTGAAGTGCCACCATGGAGTAAAAAATCCAGGAAATTGCTGAAGGAGAGGAAGAGACTGTGCTGTATGTGTGCCTGTTAGAAGGAGGAAATTAGAACTTCAAAGCTGTCGTCTTTCTTCCAGTTGTTACCTTCTGAGCAGATACCATGTAGTTCCTTTGAGTTGCTGTGTAAGATTTGTGGTCGTACAGGTGACGAGGTTGAAGAGTCCACATGTAAACGTGATCTTCATAGCTACAATTTAATTTGGTGTCAAAAGACTCTTAGGCAGTGTTTTGGTCTATGTTCTTCATCTTTGCGCTAGATATTTGAAATGTTGCTGATCATACCACGAAAACGGAAGAGTTCAAATGTGACTGTGTAAAAGTAATCTAAATACCCAGACCAGCTCTGATAGGCATTCATTGCCTTTATGTGGGTAATGTGATTGTTGCTGTGCAATTGAATTACATTAATTTTATTTTACTTTAGAGCTTCTTGGGTGTTACTTATCTTTCTAAAGACCTTTTACAGTGGTGAAACAGTGTGTTAATATAGAAGGAGGACTAACCTTTGGGATGAGGGCATCAGATAAGAAGCAGGGCTTTGTCGTTCGAAGCAAAGGTGAAGAAGTCCAAATAATATAGTCTTTATGCCACGTGACTAGTCTCTTGGCCTTGCTATGAGGTGGTATTTTCATGCAAAGATCTATACTATGAGTAACATGAAAAGGCATCTTTGGAATTTGGGATGGCTTGCGTTTTAGCTTGTCTGATAAAAAGCAAAAATAAAAAAGAAATTCATCACCGTATGGTTGTTGTGTATTCTGGAGCCCGATGATAAGCATATTGGGAGGGGGAGGAGCTTTATAAAGCTCCATTACTAATAATTATGCATATTTCCTTGTTCCATCGCAGATGTTTAGCAGAATTTGTAATAGGCTGCCTATCTGACAAACTTTGGATTTCCTTCAGATGAGAGGTGAAAGTAGTTCCTATTCTGTTCTTCTACACTGTTTATGCCACATGCAGTCCTGAGCGTGGCCTCTTGCATTCCAAGTGCGTTACGCATTGCTGAGCCTGTCCCTGCATCACTTAGTAACAGGGCTCCCATCCCCAGCTGTGATGTCAGGATGTGTTACTGGAAACGAGGTAGTTTTCAGCAAGGAAGCTAACTCCCTTTGGAAAGACACCCAGCTGTCTTCAGCTTAAACTATTGAAATCTTTCGACATTTATTGGGTTCTGCCTTAGCAATAGTAAAAATAGTTGATCACAATAAAGAACACCTGGGAATACAAATTACAGTGTTTGTGTCTTTCTCCCCTCCTGCGTTACTAATTAATGCAAATCAGGAGAGTGAGAGGGAGAACTGGGAAGTTTAGGCTAATTTGCAGGTTATTAGAAGCTTTTTCAGGCTATACTACTTGGAGCCTTACTTTGTGCTAGTCAAACACTGAAAAGAAGGCTTATCTTCAAATTGCATGAATTTTGAAAGAATAAACACAGTCAGTGCTGACAGCAGTTTAAATTGCCAGCCCTTTAACAGATACCTGCTGAGGACTTACCAATGATTTTCTTCTCTCAGAAAGTTTCCACATTAGCCAAATGCTTGTTTTTCTTGGAAAATTTAATTCATAATGCATGGCTGACATCAGAACCACAGCTTTCTGTATTCAATATTCAAGCATTCTGCAAAACCTTGTTTGTTTGTTTCTTTCTTTCTTTTTTTTTTTTTTTAAACATGCCAAGTCTGTATTTGATCATTTGGAAAAAAGTTTACTGTCTTTTAACTGAACCAGGCAAAAAGCACCACACCTTCAGTTAACCGCACCATGGGAAAACTCATACTGAATCGCTGAAGTTTAGTAAAAATGGAAACAATGGAAAACAAGTCCCATAGTATAGTCTCACTCGTAAGTGGCATTTCCTCTGCCACATACATTTTTCGGAATAGAATAAGATACTGTATTTTTAAAGCTAGGTTTGTTCTTTTGTCTAGTGTATTGAAGTAGAACTTTGTGGAGTAGTGAGAAGCTCTGTGGGTCATAAAAACAGGAAATTACTTCAGAAGCTACTGTATGCATAGAATAACTTTTCAGTTTATTTGTAAAAGAGTAACATAAACTCTAATCCCAATTAATGCAGAATCTGTTCCAATGAACTTTTAGGTAGTCAAAGAAACAGATGTGTTTTAGACCATGTTAATAATGTAATTTTGGTATGGTAGCCATTTTTAAGCTGTCTTAAAAAAGGCACAGTAGAATTTTTTTGGCTCTATGCATTTTTTTTAATTGTGAAATTTCTATTTTTAAAGTTCTGAATGAATACACACAACCATATGATAGATAAAGTTACCGTTGGCATTTTTAGATAGAGAAGAAATAAAAGTAAGTTGAATGTACAAGTATATGTTGGTTGTTATTTAAGGTAACTGTGGTTTGTTACTACTTCCCATCTCGGAATAACTTCTTTTGTGCAAATCATACTGGCCAGTTGACATTTTGTATTCCTGAGCAAACTAAACACAAAATGTTGTAGAAGATCTTAAGGTAAACTTTGCATTCTCTTGAAAATTTACCATAGTTTAAATGACCATAATGACCATTTGAGGATTTTTATCTTAGATACTTGAGAGCAAAAATGTACTACTTTTTCATAAAGGAAGTTTATGATGAAAAAGACATTCACTGATTTGACTGCAAATAATGTGTGGATTCTACTTTATTGTGATCTGAGAAACAAACCCTGAGACTACTTACTTAAAGTATGTAGTATAATGGTAGCTTGAGCAATAACAAGTTAAATGTTAAGTATTGCGAGTTGTCTTCTTTGGACAAAAACTGTGTATTTCAGGCCTGATTTCTACTTAAATCTGTTTTGTAAAATCTCCAGAGATGAAAAAACAATCTATAATAATCTGTTATCAACAATATAATAACAATAAATAGTACTACTATTAACAATATTAAAATTATGATAATAATAATGAAGACTACCTCGAGGTAAAAGACTACCTCAGCACTCTTTCCACTAAAGAAAATTACTAGCAGTAAATGTATATGAAATGCTTATGTTAATATCAAACAAACATCTTTCTAAATACTGTATTAATCACATGATGGGTGGAAATGCTTTCTAAGCAAGATTATACTCATAAAAGTTGTAAATCTTCAATGTATTTTTACTTTCATTTTTATTTATTTATTCAGAAAATAAATGCTAAGCTTCATGATGGAGTGTGTCAGCATTGCAAAGGTATCTTGGAGTGGCGGGTAAAATTCAGCAAGTACAAACTACTATCAAAACCTAAAAAATGGTGAGTTAAGATACTTTGTGTTAATCACCGATAGTGTAGTTTTTGAACTTTTTGGAAAACATTCTAGTTTTGGAAACTCACGAGCAGTAACCGCTACTATATGACATTCTTCAAATTTGGAGTCTGCGATGACAATATATATGCAATGTTAATTTTCTAATTCATTAGTCTTTTATCTTAAACTTTTGAAAAGAAAACACAGTGGAAGAGCAACTGCATCCCTCTTCGCTGTTAAAATGCTTGAACTGTGGACCTGTAAGTTTCCAAAACCGTCAGTGTGTCCTGAACAAAAAGTCGAACCTGAACCAGTTGTAACACGATTTTCCAAGGCCTCGTTGCAAGTCAATACGAGAGAAATCTGCACATCTCTAAACTTTTGTAGTTCACAAAGACTATCTAGTAGAGAAACGAGGAGAGGAAGGCGTTAATTTTGTGTCATATCAAAACTCAGCAGCAGCACTGTTCTCAGCATTACTGAGGCCTCAATTTCTACAAATTGTTTGCAATACATGCATTTCATTACCTCTTAGCATGTTCTCTCTTTTTGTATATGAAAGTATAATCCTAAATATTAAATGTTTAGCATTCTGTATTAGGTGTTTTTGGATAAGTACATAACAAAGGCGATAAATATCTTAAAATAATGTATAGGTTTGTGATAGGTTAATTTTCTGAAGTGGATACTCTGCTTCCTTCTTACTTGCTCAGCTGCAGAGGTCCTTACCTCTGTGGCTGCAGACACAGCCAGTGTTTCAACAATGAAACGCTGAACTCAAAGAAACTACAGCTGGGCTGTGGTGTATGATATAGCCACCTTTGTCACAGTAGTTCACTCTGCATTTGTGTGTTATTCTCATTTACATACTTCTGAAATACTTATGAACTGCTTGAAGAGGTTCTGTAAATGTATGCATGCAGTTCCCTGAATGACAGTGTATTTTATTTTGATTTTCAGTAGGTTAAAAGGGAAGGAATGTTTGTTCATACTATATCCCTCACATGTGAGAAGTTTTAATTTTTTAATATGAAACCATATGCAACAAATATTTTGGTTTTAGTAAACAATTTCACCCTTTCCTGTAAAAAAAAAAAGATTTGATTAGGTAGAAGTCTCACTGGTTCTCAAAGTAAACATTCTGGGTTCTGTTCACCACAGCCAAAGTTGGGATTTGTCTTTTTTTAACTCTTTCTCAAATGACTGTGTGCATCCTGTTTAAAAGTAATGAGCTGTAACAAATCGTGGTGGTGGATCTGGTTCTTTTGCCTCTTCTCTGCCTACCCCCAAAGGAAAAAAAGCAGGCAAAAAAGCATGTAAATCAGAGAAGCATTGGAAATAGAAAAAGTGGCGTTGTGGGACAGCTGCTTATGACAGAAAATGTGATGTTTTCCTTCATATTTTTGAACAAGTAAATTGGGCTGCAGACTGTTCTAGCTCTACCGGTGGTGGTTTCTAGCCCAGCCTACAGCAGTACAATGGCTGAGTGGGCCGCTGTTCTGAAAGGACAAGACTATGAAGATTTTCAATGGCTGAAGTTTCTGGGTGAAGTAAACACATTATAGACATTAAAAATGTGACTATATGGAAAAAAATGAGTTCTTTATGTCACAGACGATGGGAATGGAGTTCTTCTCCGTACCTCAACTTATTTTTATTTTTTTAACATCTTCAAAATTATGATTGTTAGTACAAGCACAAGTTATCCCTACTTTACTTTTATTACGAGCGTTTAAGTATTACAGATTGAACTATTTAAAAAAAAAAAATCTATCATTGCTAGTGCCCCTGTTTGGTGTGACATGGCTGGGAAGAGCTGTAGACATTTTTTTAATACTAATGCAACTGACCATAGAAGAAAGAAAAAAAACCAAAACAAAACAAACTAAGTAAGTATTTCCAGTGACATCTAACTGTACGTTTTTTCTGGGGGAAGAGGAGACCAGAAACACTAGGCAGTTCAGACTTTGCTTTTGTCAAATGTGTCCTATTAGCAATTCTTGTGATCTTACAGCTTCTTACGGGATTGGATATGCACATCTTAATAACGGAAGCTCAGCAGAGCCTAGATGGGCATAGTAAGGAGAAGGCGATAATGCTTAAGAATGGGATTTGAGAAAGCAAGTAAAAATTCTGTTTTACGAGATGCTAGTTAGTGCATCTCTCCTTATAAGGAATGCAAAAACACTTGATATTTTTCTTCAGCCTGTTTTAGCCGAGTCTGCAAATCCACTGTTCAGAACTGTATGCTAAATCTGTCCTGACAGACTTTTGAGTGCCTGAGGAACCAAGAGTGAGTGACATTTAGGACAGCTGCATTACATGGGATATATAGTTCTGGGTTCTGTTCTCAAAAAATACGATGCTTTAGAAATGTCAGCTGAATGTTAAGCCATAGCCTTTTAGAAATTACTTAATCTACAGAGTTTTTATCATATCTTGAAAAAGAATAGCCAAAAACCTCTACATAATTAGGTTGGGTTTGTTCAGAATACTGTTCCGTGAAGGCTTGTGTTCATAGAAAGCAAAGTCCAGCACTGGCTTTGTTTATACTCTGAGAAGTTCAAGAGGAAGACATTGTAGTGTTTGAATTGAAAGCTTTTTATTTGTAAAATGCTTGCACCTTTTTATACCATATTCTTATTTTCTTTTATCGTTAAACCAGAAGAAGTTACGTAGCTTTTGAAGTAAAACTACCTACTGAAATGAATGGAAAGGTTTCTTTTGTCACTTTAAATATAAAAATTCTTGATTTTTTTGTTTCTTCTTCAGTTCTTTTAATAATTCTTACTGAAAAAGTTAAAGGAGAGGGAAGACAGGCAATGATTTTGATAGTGCTGCTTGTTAACACACCGATTGTTTCATATGAAAGTGGCCTATAACATGTTGTTCCTCCTTTGAAGAGTTTGTCTATATTGTCTTTGAACACAGAATGTTTAATAAGTGTCCACAAATATTTTTTTAATCATGTTTTCTTTCTCTTCACAGTGTGAAGTGCCTCCAGAAGACTGTAAAAGATCCTTACCATATTATTTGTCGACCATGTGCTGGTAAACTAGAAGTTTGTGCCAAATGTGGAAAAGAAGAAGAAATAGTAATTCCGTAAGTAGCTCATAGGTTACATATTTTCAGTACTGCACTGTTTCTTCCCCTTTTAATAAAGCTTGTTTGGAAATTGCCAAGAAGCTGTTGTACTTTATGCCGTATTCTGAATAATCCTGACAGGAATCAGTAGGAGCCATTGCCCTCACTTTCTTCTGCTGAAACTAGGGCTGAAATGCCTATTGATGTTAGTGGGGCTGGGCCAAAAAAAGCCTTACTTGGGTAAGACACTTTATTTTAATACCAAAGGGTAAATTGCATATCTTCCTTGGGAACAAAGCACATCAAAATGTATTTCGGTATAGAGCACCATAAAATATGCATAAGCCAATTTACTGTTTGCATTTTGTCTGTCATTTGATGATTCAGTTACTTATGAACAGAAAAACTAAACAAAGGCTGATACTGAGCACAGTTACCACAATATATTTAGCAGGCTTTTGGTTTTCTTTTTCTTTTACTAGAGTTCTCTCTTTATTGAGAATCCTGTATTAATTTACTAGTTTGTGACAACTGGCCAGCAGTTGCTTAGTTGGTCAAACTATTCATATATATATTTTTTTTTCCTTCACAGACTCTTTTTCCTTTACTGTCTTTTATATCTTTCCTATTCAACGTGAAAGTAACTTTAGGTTATGGTCCCTCTCCTCCTCCTCCCCACCTCCTGCCCCCTTCCATCCCTGGTAGAATATTCTACCCTTCATCCCATTCTTGTTTAAAAGAAAAATATATTCCAAAAGTGGGTGGTGATAACATCTTCTTGCTTTCTGCAGGATTGATAAAGGACAAGACAGAACTGAGAGTGTGACTACTAAAAATGGCCAAGAGAGCAGTGGGTTGAAGGATGAGTTGGATTTTGATACAAACTTCAGCAGTACAGACAGTGATGAAGATTTTGATGTGCTTGAGGAACGATTTAAAAGTATGAATTTTGAAAGGACAGAGATCTAAAAGGTTGAGGTTTAGATGGGAGACTATATGCAATCAGAAGTGGTAAACCAATGTTTGCCTTAAACTGCTCTGAAAACCTGATTTGACATCTAAGGTCCTTGCATATAAATGTTGGCACTGTGTATTATGACACTTGTTGGGGGTTTTGTATAAATAAGTATTTTTTTGTATTAAGAGCAGAATTTCTTGTGAAAAGATTCAGAAATTGAATCTTTAAGCATAGTTATTTCTTGCATACATGTAACAACTTCCTGTTTATCTGGAATAAAGCCTCTTTGTGTAATTGTTGTAAATTCAATATTATGTAACTGCTGTATTGCCACTTGGAAAGCTACATGAAAGTCTAGAATAAATACAGAGTCTTGTCATAAAAAGGAAGAGCTAAACCAGCTGTAATAGTTTGCTGAAGGAAGAACTTGCGTCTTCTGTCAATGAGTTTCCAAACAGGGTCAAAATACCAAGTGGTCATTACCCTTATGCCTATTGTTTCTTTTCTGTGCAAAAAAAGAGGCCTAAATGCCATCACAAGCACAGTTCATGAGCAGTTAATGCTTATTTACCACGTATAAGTATGCATTACAAATTTGTGACCTTGTTACTCTCAATGTTTTGAAAAGAAAAAAACTGAGGACTTTTTAGAATTTCTCATAACAGATCTCACACTTTCTTTTCCTTTGACTGCAGATCGAATGTAGTTTGCTCTGATATGAAAACACTTGCGTACTGTAGTGATGCTTATATAGTTACTCTCTTCCTGACTTTCAGTTCTTTCTAGGGGTTATTGCCACGTAGATTAAGTTCTTGGAAGAACTTAACTGAATTTGCAGTAGCTACCTTTTACGGGATTCAGGATGGTTTGATTTCTTCTGTATTGTCTGCTACCTCTATAAGTAAAGCTGAAGAAGTACTTCCTAGTAATTAAATGGTTTAACCTATGACAATATACTATGCCGTTTTTACTAACTACATAACAGCTACCGATCTGCTTTGGTGTTCTGCCTGATTTGCGGTAGTGGGCATGGAACAATTTGACTCCCAAACTGCCTTCTGCAAATGAATTGTGAGGGACTTCAGCTCTGGGATTTTTCTCGCCCCCCTTCTCCCAGTGGGGGAAATACTGAAACTTTATCCTTTGGGTAGAGATAGCCACCCTGTGGCTGCTGTAGTGGACCTTAACTTTAAAGAAAATCTAGTTACCAAGATGTGGAGTACTAAGACATTCAGCAGTCGATAGCCTAGAAACTGTTCTGATTTAAAGGACAACTTTATTATTTAGTATTGACAGTAATGGGCAACAACAAAATTCTTGTAATCACTCATGGAACAGTGAGCTCTTACTGTTTTTTCTTAACTGTGTAGGTGTTTGTCACTACACATAAGGCCTTAAGAATGAGCTTTTTCTTTTATTATCTTTATTTATTTGGATTTGTCTTTCACTTTTGTATTGTACATTGAAACACCCTTTTACCTTTTCTAAACTATTTGTAAGTTTATATCTTAATATCTAAAACATGCTTTTGTAATGGTCTCTAAGGACTAGTAATCTGCTTGGTTTCTTCTTTGTTGTTGTTGTTGTTCCTTTTCCATGCTGCCCTTCTGCTGTTGAAGAATTAGATTCCGTAAGATTATTTTCATTTTTCTGTCCCATGTAGATCTTTTGCATAGGTAGATTTTTGCTAAGTGTTTGTGATGAACACTAGCAGTAAACTATTGAAAAACATTCTACTGGTCTTCTCTGTTCCCATGATGCATTGTGACTTTTGTGGCTTTTCACTGAGACAAAGTCTAAAGTTTACTAAATGTTTGGGTGGTATTCTGTTTCCTTCTGGGGTTGCTTATTACATAGTAGTTTGCAGTCATAAATGACTAAGACTGATGACCCAAACAACCCATCTCCTTTCTCCAGCCACTCTGTAAACATGTTGTTTATAAGCTAAACCACTATTTTTGTGATTAAACGTACTGGTTCTTTCGCCCAACTGCAACTAATAAAAACCAAGAAATTCGGAAGTTTATGTGGAAGGGCAATGGTTTGTCTTAGAAGAGTCAGTGAAGCTGCAAAGCACAAAGAGGTGCTTAGCGGCAGAAAAGGAGGTTGTCTGGTGTTTAGAAGTGACTGGAAATTGGTCTGAAGGTCATGTTGCATTGACAGATGAGCCCTCCCAATAGGACAGCAGTGACGTCTGACTTAGTGTGACATCGCCTGTTGTCCTGCCAGTTGATGTCGATAAAGGCAGAGTGAACAAGGAATATCCCCCACACAGTGCAGTTGACCGGGCGGGGGGTTAGAGGGAAGTTAATAAGTAATCTGGAATTTGCTTCAGAAAGGGTCTCTCTGAAGGGGAAACACGAGTGTCATCAAAGTGAACTTGGCTTTTGAAAGTGACATACGTATGGGAAATGTTCTTCTATTTGGAAAAATTAGATAATGGCCTAGCCCTTTGCCCAAAGGTGAGAGGAAATCCTGACACGATAGGAAAACATGTCAATGAACTGGCAGGAGCTGTATAATGAGAAAATAAGGGGAAGGGCTCTCTTCTCAAAGTGGTGACACAACCTGTCAGTACCCTGGAAGAGCAGTGCCACACAGATGAGCAACATGTAGCAACAAAACACAAACATTAGGGAAAGTCCTCTGAAGTTAGCATCTTCGTGTCACACGACTAATGCTCTGTTCGGAGTGTAGGTGGGCAGTTGATACTACAGTTGATGAAACTGCTGTGAGTGAGCATAGCTGCAGTCGTGGCTGGCTGGTGTTAGTCCAACCTCTCTGAGGACAGCTTTTGGTTCTGGCAAGTGTTCTGTCTTTGGTCGTGACTGTGGTTAAAAGATACGCGGCTGGAAATGATTGCTGCAACTAAAACCATGTACGACGGTGGTTGTGAGTCAGCTTGCAAAATTGCTAACTTGGAGTTTGGGTACATTTGCTATTACAGGAAAAGGGAGTTTGTGTTTTACTGAAGACACCTCTAACAGGAATAAAAGGAACAATTTTATTTTTCTTGTTTAATTTTGACTGAAGTTAGAACTTATTTGGAATTACAGTAAGATACTATTTTTCTAAGGCTTTTAAGTAATAGTTCTGAATTTCAAGGGCGTTTTTTTGTGAAGAACTTGTTGAACAGACAGTTATGCAGGGGCAGAACCCCTTTAAAACCTGCTCTTCAATAAAATCACGTATAGATGAGAAAATAAAAAGGAAGGAGATCAAAAGTCATCAAAGAGATTTCTGAGACAATCTTTAGGGTAGTTGCATATTGAGTTTTTAATTGAGATTTTGAAAGGTTTCTACCTCTTCTTTCACAAGGAATAATGAATTTGTGTTTGTAAACTTCAAAAGAGGGGAAATAATAATACCACCATACCTGCAGGATATTGAGATGCAGTTTAAACAATCTACCTAGGATGACTGAATCCTAGGTATTTAACTGAATCTTGTGGGTCCTTACAGAATACGTTACTGAAGAAGAGAATGATAGATGTTAATAATTAGTCATCTGAAGAATAAAGGAGATGCAGTGATGCTGCTGACACAGTTGAATTCCTGTTAGCTGATTGTCCTTAGGAGTGTTACCAATTCTTGTTTAGTGCGACTCAACACTGACAGTAATTAATTAGATGATGGACTGTCGGCAGGCATGCAAGATGATTCTCGCTTCACAAGAGGAAATGCTTATCATAGGCTTGAGCTGTCAGAACTTGTCATTGTTGACTTGTACAGGTTTCCAGAAAACCAAATTCCCATTTATAAGGATTTCTTAGGACAATCTGGATTCATTGCAGTATGAGGAGAGTCCGGTATGGACACAGTGCTGCCTCCTAGCGTAATTCCTTAACAATCTTCTCTGTCAAAGTTTGTGGGCATCTTTGAGACATCCTATCATCAAATGTTTTGAAGCATCAGGCAATACAAAAAGCATTGCCCAATTATTTACTTCTAGTTTTGCATGGGCTGGGCTCTTCTATTCTTGTCTGGGCTACTGATTAATCTGTATGCCTCTAAAGTACTAAATTAATACCAGCCTCCGAAGGTTTATAGGACTACTGGTTAATTAGGAAAAGAGTGGCTTGTTTTCTCCCTATAATGGGCATGTACTTGGATGCTGAGATGCAAATCATAGCATTAGCAAGGAAAATAGAGGAAAATATAGCAGGTAATCAAATGTGAGCCACCTTGTAACCCTCTAGCCTTACAATTATATGTGTTTTCTTTGTTCAGGAGTTCTCACAAGTAAACGGATGCTGGTAGAAAATGCAAAACTACCTCTGCTTATAGGAAGCATCAGGCTGACTTACAGAGTTAATGAGGAAAGGTTTGTAAGGAGCATGGAGAGACATTCTTAATAATCAGATGTTTAGGGAGCTGGTCATGCACACTGTCAGCATCTGGTTCACTTCATTCTTCTGCCTACCTTTTATCTGAAAGCTGTTAAAAGACAAAACTGTGTATGAAAAAGAAAGTATGTGCTCTGCATACATGCTGTTATCACATACAGTGTGTGTGTGTAAAGTAGGGTTCCTAAGCTTCAAACCAGTTGAAAATACACTAGTATTTGAAGTGAGGTAGATCTGTCTAGGGATTGATAACATGTTCTCAGACAAATCACCTGTAACAGACTAGAAATGAAATATTTGGCATATTTCAGGTAGCAGATTTTCCTGCTGGAGCCTCTAAAATAGTGAGATGAAATCATATCTAAGTTGTCTTTTTTCCTACTGAAGTCAATGAGAAAACAACTATTTGTAATAATAGGGATAGGACTCATAATTAAGTCATCAATAAAAAGCTTGAATTTGAGGATCTGAAAAGAGGGGCTGAAGACCACATCCAACACATTAAGATTTGACCTGAATTTCAGCTATGTGTAGCATCTGTACTTTCATTTGCCTTTGATACAGCTTTAGAAACCCAAGTTAAAAGGGTCTGGTGTAGTCTCATAACTAAAAGTGCTTTGAAAGCAGTACCAAATATTTTAATATTTTTCTTAAAACTACAACATAAACCACCATGTTTTTGTACAAAAAATACATGGATTGTGCATGTTCCTGATTATTCATGTTTCTCTACTGCCGTAAAAGACAAAAAATGTTTCTATAAATACATCAGCAACAAAAGGAGGGCTAAGTAGAATCTCCATCCTTTATTGGATGTGGGGGCAACCATAGTGACAAAGGATGAGGGAAAGGCTGAGGTACTTAATGCCCTCTTTGTCTCAGTCGTTAATAGTAAGACCAGTTGCTGTCCGGGTACCCAGCCCCCTGAGCTGGGAGAGGACGGGG